AAATGAACTCTACAGGAGATGGATTTTGAGTACTTCAAAAATTGCTATAGTTTGCATCAATCAGATACGGGAGACAGTTTTGCAAAATTCTGTTTGTGTAAAGAGAAAGGAAGAACATGTGCTCTATTCTAACCAATCAACAAAATGTGAAAACACGATTGAGAGAGAAGTGCACAACCATCCTACCAGTTCTACCCAAATATCACATCAGACCATCTCTTCCCTGATAACAGTTTTGTTAACCTAAGGACACATTAGCTCAGTTAGATCTGGGCTCTCACGGAGCTCTCTGCTAGCTGTTCTGCTTACTGGTAAGTAAGCAATGCAATTTTGCCTAGCAACCCCTCCGTGGAAACACTGCTCCATTCTGTAAGTGGCAGGGGGATGTGGCAGGGAGAGTGAGGTTTGTGCCTCTCAGAATCCCTCTGCAGCTGGTTCCCGACATCGTAAACATTATCTGCAATTCTTGGAAGTTTCTGAAGAACGATGAAAAAAGGGACGGGGAGGTGGCTGAGCCTGGGGTTTTGGGAGTAGGGTGGAATTAATTGTAAGCCAAATAAAAAAGCTTCCAAGATTACGAGCTGAGACTGTCTGAGAGCTCAATCCAGAGTTGGCACAGAGGAACCAAAGGAGAAAGAGGACATTTTTTTTTTGTCATTGATGAGGAGGTATGCAACATATCTAGGAAGGGACAACCAGCAGTGACTCCCTAAAGCTAAACAAAGATTATCTTAAGCCATACATGAGGGAACATTACTCAATGGCAAAGAGAAGCATTAAATCTGGGACTGTCTATGTCTAAGGAAAAATTTGAGCTTTTACATTAAAATTCCCTGTTAACAATTATTGAATATTAACCAGGCACTATGCTAAGCTTTTACACACTTGTTTAATCTTTCAAACAATCTGATAAGGTGGGGTTTCTTATCTCCATCTTATAGAGCAGGCATCCCCAAAGTACAGCCGTGGGCCCGGCCCCCTGCTGCACTTCAGGAAGGGGCACCTCTTTCATTGGTGGTCAGTGAGAGGAGCACAGTATGTGACGGCCCTCCAACAGTCTGAGGGACAGTGAACCGGCCCCCTGTGTAAAAAGTTTGGGGACGCCTGTTATAGAGGAAAAAACTAATGCACCGAGAGGTTGAGAAACGTGCCTAAGGTCACTCAACTATTTAGCAGTGGGGATGGGATGTGTCTCCGGCAGTCTTTTCCTAGACTCTGTGTGTGTTTTTTATTTATTTTTTATTTTTTTTAATTTTTTTGAGATGGAGTCTTGCCTTGTCACCCAGGCTGGAATGCAGTGGTATGATCTCGGCTCACTGAAACCTTTGCCTCCTGGATTTAAGAGATTCTCCTGCCTCAGCCTTCTGGGTAGCTTGGATTACAGGCGCCTGCCACCATGCCTGGCTAATTTTTGTATTTTTAGTAGAGATGGGGTTTCATCGTATTTACTGGGCTGGTCTTGAACTCCTGACCTCAAGTGATGGACCCGTCTTGGCCTCCCGAAGTGCTGGGATTATAGGCATGAGCCACCACACCCGGCCAACTCCGTGTTCTTAAACACTACTCAGTTTTCTAGCAGTAGTGAACAGGGCTAATGGGGATAAGAAAACTGAAGATCACCATCCTGCACATGAGATGGTTTGTGATTCCATTGTGAAAGCCACAGTTTAAAATGTTCAATTAAGGCAACTTTTTTTTTTTTAAAAATATCTAGAGGGCAGTAAAAAGATGGGTATCCAGAATAACAGATATTGCTAAAACCTTACGCCCACAGCACTTCTTTTTATAGCAAAGTATGGGTATACACATATTTTCATACACCTACACACACATACACATGCAAGACGCGTATTTCTTAACTCCCTGAAATACCCTGATAATTAAATGCTCCAAACATTCTCTAAGCATCACCCTTGGATGTCTGGGAAAAGCAGACCCAGAACACACTTGTTGGCCTGGGCAATGAGTAGTGGTGAAATGTTTACCTTGCTGATAAACTCTCCAGTAGAGGATGCTATTAAGATGCCACAATCTAGCCTTTGTTATCCATCTCCTTGTCTGTCATCAAACAAATCCACCCCTGTCCTTCCCCATCTTTCCTTCTGCCCATCTCCTGAAGTCCAGGAATGTCTCCAGTTTCCTACGTATTTGCAGTCCTCTTTTGCCAACCTCAACCTCATTCAATTACATTCACATCTCAATTTATGACTTAACAAGCATCTCACAAACATTTAATTCACTTTAATTTCATTACGCGTTTGAGGAGGAAGATTTGTAAAGAGGGGAATGATGCTTCCATTGCCAGCAGCAATTAGATTGACTTAATGATCTACGGTGAAATCTCCTTTTGGGCTTTGAACTTTTCATACATCTCTGTAGAAAAAAATCTAGGCTAATTAAGTTCCTGTATTCTCAGACGGGCTCACCTGCCTTTACAAAATCGTCCTATAATAGCCAACATGGAAATTTATGAAATGGACAAAACATTCCCTGCAGTTCTCAGGTAATTTATCTTGTTATGACACTTTCATGTGTGAAAAAGATGATATTTTCACATATAGTTTCAACAGCATCAGTAAATTATAATTTTTTTTTCAAATGGTTTCTCTGAGAAGATTAGGAGGGTTTCTATTTAATCAGAGTATAGATGAAATAATTTTTCCCTCTTCCCATTTTATATACTAGATATCCTCTCGGGAGTTAGAAAAGCACCTCCTTTTTATAAGGAAAGATGGCATTTCTTAAACTTTTCCTGGACAGGTCACCCGGGACCATTTTTTTATTCTTAGCCTTCCTTCACAGAAGGGACAGAGGACTGCCCATTTTCAGCAGGAGTTAGTCTGATTTCTTTTGTTAGGTGCAGACAACTTTGTTTGGCAACTTTCTATAGGCTGATGAATTGCCGAATTACTTGAAAGGCTGTTTCCATTGTTAAGCACTGGACTGAGAATTAATTACATCAGAATTCTAATCTGGCTCTGCCCCTAATTAGTAGCATCATTTTATGCAAGTCCTTTATCACCTCTTGGCTTCTGGTTTGCATGTATAAAACAAAGCACATAATGCAAAGCTCTCTCTGTGCTTGGTGCAATGAAGAGGATGCAGATCCCTGGTGTGCATTTCCTATACTGATTGCCCCAAATGTGGTGTACCTTTGCAGAAAATTGATCTAGGCAATGTAGAAAGGCCACACATTCTGGTGTTAAACACATTGTTCATATATGTATGCTGGTATATGATACCAAGACCCCGACGACAGTCTCCAGCACCAATTCTGAGAGTTTTGAGGATTTTTCAGCTTAGAGTCAATTCCAGTGTTGCCTTTAGCACATCCAAAGAAAATACGACCCATGCTACCAGCCCCACTCCTGGGCTCCATTGACATGATTCCTTTGCCCCAGTTTCAGTCTAATTCCCAATCCAGATGCTTTTTTTTTTTTTTAAGTGACCCAATGACTGACTCCTTCAGAAGCTGACATGAGATGAGATTTGTTTGCAGAGATGTACAAAAAGTTCAAAGCCCAAAAGGAGATTTCACCACAGATCATTAAGTCAATCTAATTGTTGTTCTACTACCTACCCATGTAGACAGGGACCCTGTTATGCTAACTCCTGTCCTGTCTTTTATGAGTGATACAGTCAACACACGTGATGACCACAGCACCAGCTCAAACAGGTGTGCTTTAAACTAAAGGTGTGTTATAAATGTACAGCCTCAGCAAGGAAAAGGGAGGCGGGGGGGTGAAGAAACATACTTATACCTGGCTAGAGTTGGTCACAATGAAGATGGGGATGGCTGTGTTTTCCTTTTCATCCAAACATTTTGGCCCGACTCAGATGATTTTTTTCTAGCATACTCTCTTTGATGGAAGGGAAACGGGGAAAATCCATCACCACCATTGTGGAAAGAGCTCCAAATTCATTCTCACAAATGGAGGATCAGTAATACTACATGACAAATAGCAGCAGGCCTTTCTGGGAAATTATTACATTTGCACTAGTGAGGAAGTTAGAATCAGTATTTGGGCTGCAGTCATGGAACCATTCAAGAAACATTGAAAAAATCAGCTAAGCAGGCTTTTTGTTTGTTTGTTTGTTTTACCTGGTGTTCACAAACAGGCTTCAAAGGAGCCTGAGAACCCCCTAGACTACTTGAAAACTTCTCTATGTGCATTTTTTAATTGGAAAGAGTTAACAGCGTTCATCAAATTTCCTCCAAGCAGCCAATGACCAGAAAAAGGTTAGAGGTCACTGACTTCAACCATTGTGGAAGACTGTGGCAATTCCTCAAGGACCTAGAAATAGAAATTCCATTTGACCCAGCAATCCCATTACTGGGTATATATCCAGAGGGTTATAAATTGTTCTATTATAAGGACACATGCACATGAATGTTCATTGCAGCACTGTTTACAATAGCGAAGACCTGGAACCAACCCAAATGCCCATTGATGATAGACTGGACAGGGAAAATGTGGCACATATACACCATGGACTACTATGCAGCCATAAAAAATGATGAGTTTGTGTCCTTTGTAGGTACGTGGATGAACCCGGAAACCATCATTCTCAGCAAACTGACAAAAGAACAGAAAATCAAACACCAGATGTTCTCACTCATAGGCGGGTGTTGAACAATGAGAACACATGGACACAGGGAGGGGAGCATCACACACTGGGGTCTGTGGGGGGAAATAGGGGAGAGACAGCAGGGGGTGGGGAGTTGGGGAGAGATAGCATGGGGAGAAATGCCAGATATAGGTGAAGGGGAGGAAGGCAGCAAATCACATTGCCCTGTGTGTACCTATGCAACAATCTTGCATGTTCTTCAAATGTACCCACAAACCTAAAATGCAATAAAATATATATTACAAAAAAAAAAGGCACTAAATCAACTGTAAAAGAAAAGTCACTGACACAGTACCTTTTTCTGTACATCTGTATCCTGAATCCAGGGTGATGCCACTGACTTGCTTGTCTTTCTCTTTGGCTCTTCCTAGAAAAAGCAAGTGAGTCAGACCAAGATCCGGGTCATCTCAACCATCCTGTTCATCTTGGCTGGCTGCATTGTGTTTGTGACGATCCCTGCTGTCATCTTTAAGTACATCGAGGGTTGGACCGCCTTGGAGTCCATTTACTTTGTGGTGGTCACTCTAACCACGGTGGGCTTTGGTGATTTTGTGGCAGGTAAGCACCCTGGGCATCCCAGGCACCGGGCTCTGGTGGGGAAAATAATTTGTTGGCTGTGCTTTTCACAGTCGATAAAAGATGTTGCAGGAGAAGGAAATGAAGATGACTCCATGTTGATTCGGCTGTGACGAGGCTCATTTCAAATCCCTAGTCCTGTGCAATATAAACACCATAGGGTTTTTTCTGCCATGAAAAGAAAGCCAACCCATTCCTTCTCTGAATGCTTTTTTCCCTTATCATTACATGAATTATGCAAGACTAAAGTGAATTTCTCATTGAATCTTGGACTTTGGAATTGTATTAAACCTCATGAATCAAATAATAAAGGCTGTGCTAGGAGGTGGCACATAGGAAACCCAGATGAGATTAGCAAGGAATTTGGTCTGCAGTGACCCGCAGGTTCAGCTTCCTGACTCCCAGGTGAGAGCCATGGGAGTCTTTGCAAAAGTTGGCCTGGGCATGCCTAGATACAAGACTGAGGAATTTGGTGACTACGGGGAGCTGAGAACTGCCCAGAGGGCAGAATCCTGCTCATGGATTCTGCAGGAGCGTATATACAAGCAGGAGCCTTCCTTATCAAAATAAATGTGGATGAGCTGTGCTTAAGGAAGTGAAAAAACTCACCATCAGTTCCATCTAGGGCCAGGGAACTTGCAAATGAGATTTCATTTTATATGTGCGCCGGTTTCCCGACGTGTAGTAGAAAGGTATGGATAGAAGGAAGAGGCTGTCCTTCTTTTTTTCTGATGGGATAGTTCTAGGTGTTCAGAAGTGATCAATTTCTACTACAACAAGTGAACACTTTGATCAAACAACTCTATCATCTATTACAAGTTTGAAATGTCTGGGTGGGGGGGGGGGAGAGAGAGAGAGAGAGAGAGAGTGTGTGTGTTTCCTTTACCAGTTCCTGCTTAAGTGGCAGCCTGAGCTGAGCCCTCAGCAGACTTTTTTTTTTTTTTTTTTTTTTTTTGCAGATTTTTTTTTTTATTGCATTTTAGGTTTTGGGGTACATGTGATGAGCATGCAAGATTGTTGCATAGGTACACACATGGCAGTGTGCTTTGCTGCCTTCCGTCCCCTCACCTGTATCTGTCATTTCTCCCCGTGCTATCTCTTCCCACCTCCCCACCCCCCCCACCCCTCCCCCATTTCCCCCCAACGGACCCCAGTGTGTAGTGCTCCCCTCCCTGTGTCCATGTGTTCTCATTGTTCAACACCCGCCTATGAGCGAGAATATACGGTGTTTGATTTTCTGCTCTTGTGTCAGTTTGCTGAGAATGATGGTTTCCAGGTTCATCCATGTCCCTACAAAGGACGTGAACTCATCGTTTTTGATGGCTGCATAATATTCCATGGTGTATATGTACCACATTTTCCCTATCCAGTCTATCATCGTTGGGCATTTGGGTTGGTTCCAGGTCTTTGCTATTGTAAACAGTGCTGCAATGAACATTCGTGTGCACGTGTCCTTGTAGTAGAATGATTTATAATCCTTTGGATATATACCCAGTAATGGGATTGCTGGGTCAAATGGGATTTCTATTTTTAGGTCCTTGAGGAATCGCCACACTGTCTTCCACAATGGTTGAATTAATTTACATTCCACCAACAGTGTAAAAGTGTTCCTATTTCTCCACATCCTCTCCAGCATCTGTTGTTTCCCGATTTTTTAATGATCGCCATTCTAACTGGTGTGAGATGGTATCTCAATGTGGTTTTGATTTGCATTTCTCTGATGACCAGTGATGATGAGCATTTTTTCATATGTTTGTTGGCCTCCTGTATGTCTTCTTTTGTAAAGTATCTGTTCATATCCTTCTCCCATTTTTGAATGGGCTTGTTTGTTTTTTTTCTTGTAGATCTGCTTTAGTTCTTTGTAAATTCTGGATATCAGCCCCTTGTCAGATGGGTAGACTGCAAAAATTTTTTCCCATTCTGTTGGTTGCCGATTCACTCTACTGACTGTTTCTTTTGCCGTGCAGAAGCTGTGGAGTTTGATTAGGTCCCATTTGTCTATTTTGGCTTTTGTTGCCATTGCTTTTGGCGTTTGGTCATGAAGTCCTTGCCTACACCTATGTCCTGAATGGTTTTGCCTAGATTTTCTTGTAAGGTTTTTATGGTATTAGGTCTGATGTTTAAGTCTTTAATCCATCTGGAGTTAATTTTGGTGTAAGGTGTCAGGAAGGGGTCCTGTTTCTGCTTTCTGCACATGGCTAGCCAGTTTTCCCAACACCATTTGTTAAACAGGGAGTCCTTTCCCCATTGCTTGTTTTTTGTCAGGTTTGTCGAAGATCAGATGGTTGTGGGTATGTTGTATTTCCTCTGAGGCCTCTGTTCTGTTCCATTGGTCTATATCTCTGTTTTTGGTACCAGTACCATGCTGTTTTGATTACTGTAGCCTTGTAGTATAGTTTGAAGTCCGGTAGTGTGATGCCTCCTGCTTTGTTCTTTTTTGCTTAGAATTGACTTGGCTATGCGGGCTCTCTTTTGGTTCCATATGAAGTTTAAGGTGTTTTTCTCCAGTTCTGTGAAGAAGGTCATTGGTAGCTTGATGGGAATAGCGTTGAATCTGTAAATTACTTTGGGCAGTATGGCCATTTTCACGATGTTGATTCTTCCTAACCATGAACATGGAATGTTTCTCCACCTGTTTGTATCCTCTCTTATTTCGTTGAGCAATGGCTTGTAGTTCTCCTTGAAGAGGTCCTTATGTTCCTTGTTAGTTGTATTCCTAGGTACTTTATTCTCTTTGTAGCAATTGTGAATGGCAGTTCGTTCTTGATTTGGCTCTCTTGAAGTCTATTACTGGTGTATAGGAATGCTTGTGATTTTTGCACGTTGATTTTGTATCCTGAGACTTTGCTGAAGTTGTTTATCAGTTTCAGGAGATTTTGGGCTGAGATGATGGGGTCTTCCAGATATACAATCATGTCATCTGCAAATAGAGACAATTTGATTTCCTCCTTTCCAATTTGGATACCCTTTATTTCTTTTTCTTGCCTGATTGCTCTAGAACTTCCAGTACTATATTGAATAGGAGTGGTGAGAGAGGGCATCCTTGTCTAGTGCCAGATTTCAAAGGGAATGCTTCCAGTTTTTGCCCATTCAGTATGATATTGGCTGTTGGTTTGTCGTAAATAGCTTTTATTGTTTTGAGATACGTTCCGTCAATACCTAGTTTATTGAGGGTTTTTTAGCATAAAGGGTTGTTGAATTTTGTCAAAAGCCTTCTCTGCATCAATCGAGATAATCATGTGGTTTTTGTCTTTGGTTCTGTTTATGTGGTGAATTACGTTTATGGACTTGCGTATGTTGAACCAGCCTTGCATCCCCGGGATGAATCCTACTTGATCATGGTGGATGAGCTTTTTGATATGCTGTTGCAATCGGTTTGCCAGTATTTTATTGAAGATTTTTGCATCTATGTTCATCATGGATATTGGCCTGAAATTTTCTTTTCTTGTTGAGTCTCTGCCGGGTTTTGGTATCAGGATGATGTTTGTCTCGTAAAATGATTTGGGAAGGATTCCCTCTTTTTGGATTGTCTGGAATAGTTTCAGAAGGAATGGTATCAGCTCCTCCTTGTATGTCTGGTAGAATTCAGCTGTGAACCCATCTGGACCTGGGCTTTTTTTGGGTGGTAGGCTCTTTATTGCTGCCTCGACTTCAGACCATGTTATTGGTCTATTCAGGGTTTCGGCTTCTTCCAGGTTTAGGCTTGGGAGGTTGCAGGTGTCCAGGAATTTATCCATTTCTTCCAGGTTTACTAGTTTATGTGCATAGAGTTGTTTGTAATAATCTCTGATGATGGTTTGGATTTCTGTGGAATCTGTGGTGATATCACCTTTATCGTTTTTTTATGGCATCAATTTGGTTATTCTCTCTTTTCTTTTTTATTAATCTGGCTAGTGGTCTGTCTATTTTGTTGATCTTTTCAAAAAACCAGCTCCTGGATTTATTGATTTTTTGAAGAGTTTTTTTGTGTCTCTATTTCCTTCAGTTCTGCTCTGATCTTAGTTATTTCCTGTCTTCTGCTAGGTTTTGAGTTTTTTTGATCTTGCTCCTCTAGCTCTTTCAATTTTGATGATAGGGTGTCAATTTTAGATCTCTCCTTTCTTCTCATGTGGGCACTCATTGCTATATATTTTCCTCTAGAGACTGCTTTAAATGTGTCCCAGAGATTCTGGTATGTTGTGTCTTCGTTCTCATTGGTTTCGAAGAACATCTTTATTTCTGCCTTCATTTCATTGTTTATCCAGTCAACATTCAAGAGCAAGTTGTTCAGTTTCCATGAAGCTGTGCGGTTCTGAGTTAGTTTCTGCATTCTGAGTTCTAACTCGATTGCACTGTGGTCTGAGAGACTGTTTGTTATGATTTCTGTTCTTTTGCATTTGCTGAGGAGTGATTTATTGCCAATTATGTGGTCAATTTTAGAGTAGGTGTGATGTGGTGCTGAGAAGAATGTATATTCTGTGGATTTGGGGTGGAGAGTTCTGTAAATGTCTATTAGGTTTGCTTGTTCCAGGTCTGTATTCAGGTCCTGGATATCCGTGTTGATTTTCTGTCTGGTTGATCTGTCTAATATTGACAATGGGGTGTTAAAGTCTCCCACTATTATTGTGTGGGAGTCCAAGTCTCTTTGTAAGTCATTAAGAACTTGCCTTATGTATCTGGGTGCTCCTGTATTGGGTGCGTATATATTTAGGATCGTTAGCTCTTCTTGTTGCAGTGATCCTTTTACCATTATGTAATGTCCTTCTTTGTCTCTTTTGATCTTTGTTGCTTTAAAGTCTATTTTATCAGAGATGAGAATTGCAACTCCTGCCTTTTTTTGCTCTCCATTTGCTTGGTAGATCTTCCTCCATCCCTTTATTTTGAGCCTTTGTGTATTCTTGCATGTAAGATGGGTTTTTTTTTTTAAGCCAGGGTTTTCTCGCTCTGTTGCTGAGGTTGGAGTGCAGTGGTGTGATCATGGCTCTCCGCAGCCTCAACCTCGGGCTCAAGCAATCCTCCCACCTCAGCCTCCTGAGTAACTGGGACTACAGGCGTGTGCCACCACGCCTGGCTATTTTTAATTTGCATTTTTCATAGAGATGGGATTTAGCCATGTCGCCCAGGCTGGTCTCCATCTCTTGGGCTCAAGTGATCGGCCTGCCAAAGTGCTGGGATTACAGGTGTGAGCCACTGTACCTGGCCAGACTGTTCTTGTTTGGCGTGTGATCCCAGCAGTCTTGCTTTCTCCATGGAGTCCTGTGCACATCGGGGGGAGTGGGCTCTGGTCTCTGGGAGTCTGATAAACAGGAAATTCTGGAAGAGATGCTGAAGGTTCATCAATAGGGGCGTGGGTGCCTCCCATTTTAGAATACAAATAACTGGCAGAGTGGTTTTGTAGCTCTTCCAATTGGGTAGACCAAGACTGAAGTCCACTTTGTAGAAATCGTAGGGCTTTTCTTTCCTTCCTTTTTATTGGTTAAGGACTAAGAATTGCAAAGTGATGAAAATTTAGTTTTTTTGACTTTTGACTAAAATTGATATTTAGTCGATGTGACTAAAAGCCATTTACAGAAAGCCCGCTGTCTGGGACTCTACCAATTTTTCCTTACGCACAGTGCTCAGCCACGGATGTCTGGTTAGTAGCCTCAAGCTCCAAAGAGATACCACACAGAGAAACTGGGAAAAGTAAGAGGACCAGTTAGACATGTATTCCAGTTAGTTCCTTAGCATCATCCATAGCTGGTCTATGGGAAGACTCAGTGGTGGTTCCAATCTAAGATAAACACATGTAGTGGCAGCTGGAGTTTGAACTATTTCCCAAATGTCCTTAAGTACCCAAAGCATAATCTGCAGCGGGTAGTGCTTTAGAGCTCTCTGGGATAGCGCTGGGCTGTCCAAGGCCTGTCTTTAATGAGATACTTGTGATAGACACAGATCTTTAACCAATGGCTCAGTTCAGTCTGTTAATCTGAGGCACAAAGAGCAGAGCCCTGGGAGTGAGTTGTTTTTTAAATTATGCTCTTATTATTATGATTATTTTTGAGACAGAGTCTCACTCTGTCACCAGGCTGGAGTGCAGTGGTGTGATTCCGCTCACTGCAACCTCCACCTCCCTGGTTCAAGCGATTCTCCTGCCTCAGCCTCCTGAGTAGCTGGGATTACAGGCACATGCTGCCACACCTGGCTAATTTTTGTATTTTTTAGTAGGGACGGGGTTTTACCATGTTGGCCAGTATGGTCTCAATCTCTTGACCTCATGATCCATCCACCTCAGCCTCCCGAAGTGCTGGGATTACAAGCTGAGCCACCATGGCCTGCTCTTACTATTTATTATTTTTATGTACATGGACTGACCACTTAGTACAAACTAGCACTTTACCTTATCTTTACTTACCTAGTAAGGGCACAACCTACATGGTCCCAGGTATCCAGAGTTTTACTGCTCTTGTCAGTGATTCAGAGCCATATTGCCTTTGTCCTGAGGTTTCTGCAGACCATGGTCTCTTAAGTCACAGTGCTGGCTGGGCACAGTGGTGGCTCATGCCTGTAATCCCAGTGCTCTGGAAGGCCGAGGTGGGTGGATCATGAGGTCAAGAGATCGAGACCATCCTGGCCAACACAGTGAAATCCTGTCTCCACTGAAAATACAAAAATTAGCTGGGTGTGGTAGCGTGTGCCGATAGTCTCAACTACTCAGGAGGCCGAGGCAGGAGAATGGCCTGAACCCAGGAGGTGGAGGTCACAGTGGGCTGAGATTGCACCACTGCATTCCAGCCTGGCGATGGAGCAAGACTCCGTCTTAAAAAAAAAAAAAGAGTCACAGTGCCGACTGCAATTAGGCCAGGTCCCTTCTAGCTCCAGTTTTCAGAGTTTACACAGACTGATCTTGAGAATGCATGCTTTAAAAGACTGGAAGTTGTCACTATCTTTTGCTCTGTGTGTACTCCCAGACAGAGTTGTGAAATACTACAAGAGTCTAAGAGTGATAGGGAAGGTTGCCCAATCACTGAAAAAAGATACGTTAACAAGAGTTGATGTTGCTCTGATTTGACATAGTACCAACTCTACTAGAAATGGAATCAGAACATTGATCCTGCAGGATTGATTGCTGATTTATTCTGCAGCTGACTTATTTTAGGACAGCCTTACAGTATTTCGCAACTGTGTCTGGGAATACACACAGAACTCTGAATTCAGACCAGCCACTCATAAAGGGATACTTACAAGGGTGTTGACTGCCTGGTTCATTGTTCCTTGTTCACTAGCGCACCCTAGTGACCATCTTTGTTGGATGATAGTGACTTACAAAGGTAAATAATTCCAGATAGCCCATAGGAGAAAGTCACAGATTTCTCTGGCATAGCACAGAAACCACAGAAATGAAATGAACCTCAAAAACCACTTCCTGGTGCACGAACTCAAATAGTATCCCAGAGCTCTAAAGATGCAGGAGAGAGCTGCCTGAAGGGAAAAACCAAAGGCAGCTGGACGGACCAAACGGAAGGGGTCTTGGCACGGAGAAGTTGGAATTCTAACATTAAGAAGTGGCAGTAGCTGTCAAGACTTTGTGGTATGCTGGGCTCTGTCGCGGATTGCGTTTGGACAAGCCGAGCGGAGCCACAGGCCACAGTTCCTGCCCAGCTGCCTTTGCTGTAAGACTCAGTGGTGCTAGGTGTGATTACAACTCTGGCCCAGTGGGAAAGTCTCTAATCACTCATCACCCAATGCCATAGTTACCAATCCATTGCTAATATCTGTTGTCTTAGAAACGATCACTACCTGCTTCGTTAGGCAACACTGTTTCCCAGAGAGAGGTTGAGGCTGAAGTCCTTTATTTCCAGGAGCTTCCACACTTCTTTAGGAGGGTGGGTTGGGCTTGCAACCTGTTTTGCATGGCCACTTCCAGCATCGCCTGTAGGAAAGTTAGAATAAAGAGGCTAATTATTTAGAATAAATTGACTGATCCTTTCAGTGGAACAGCCAATCAATGCAATCAGGCACCTGGCCAATTTGGTTTGATGGATTTTTACTGTAATCCTTATTTATAAAATAAAGGGATTGGCCTCAAAGGTCCCTTTTAGTTCTAGCTTATGGTGACTGTAATTACTCAGCCTAATTGACCTTTTGGAGTAGCGCTATGTAAACACCAGTCCTCAGTTGGCATTAAATCACTATTGCTTGCATCAAAGGCCCAGTAATGCCATTTTACCTAATTTTACCTTCACACATCCGTTTGTCTCCTGGTAGATGGACGAGTGCTTAAGATGGAAATGGTTCCAAGAATTCCAAACCATAGCTGGTGATTAATGATATTCAATTTTTATTAAAATATGTTAGTGAAGTTTAAGAAAAAACGACAACAGCCAGGGTTCTGTTGTCCTGTATTGCAGAGTCGTTTTTTCCTCCATGCTCAGGTTAGCATAAATAGGTCAAGTTGGCCTATTCTGGTATTAAGTTTAGTGTTCAAGAATCAAAAGAAGTAAAACCTCAAGTTAGGCTACTTTGGGAAAGGGCCGTGTATCCTTCTTGCCCTCTAACCCCGCTCCACCTTGTACGTAGCAGCCTGACAGCTGCGTGTTAGATGATGATGGATGACGTCTTCGCTTCATGGACTGGAATGTGTGTTCTCTGCAAAGACCACGCGCTAGATCACGGTTAAAGTAACATCTGGTTGTTTTCAGGGGGAAACGCTGGCATCAATTACCGGGAGTGGTATAAGCCCCTAGTGTGGTTTGGGATCCTGGTTGGCCTTGCCTACTTTGCAGCTGTCCTCAGTATGATTGGAGACTGGCTACGGGTTCTGTCCAAAAAGACAAAAGAAGAGGTAGGACCCCTTCCTAACTCTATAAATGTTCCCTGAGAACAGATGAGCTTGTGTCCAGAATTGCCTGTCTCTGTCCTGTGGGCTGGAGTGTTTGTGGCTCAGCGGCGGAGGTGGGGGTGCAGTTCCTAAGCTTCCTCATGTTGAATTATTCCCTCAAAGCCAAAGAGAATGGAATAGCAGTTATTTCCGGATTCTTTTTTTTTTTTTTTAATTTGTTTGTTTGGTAGGTGAGAAAATATGGTGATTCATTTACCATTCCATAAATCCTGGAAAAACTAGTAAACAACAGCTGATTTTTTAAAAAATGAAAATGAAAATAGTCAGCAGAGGTAGACGCTGGCTGGGGGCGGGGTGGGCAGCCTGTCCTTCCAGTCTCAGGAACTGTGCAGAAATGCAGCTGAATGCCAAGAATCTTTCCTGATTCAGTAGAAACTGAAATCATCGAATTGTGGCCCGCCGTGGGGCAGTGAACCCAAGGGGTCTTTTTCACGTACATTCCTTCTTGGTTCTTGCATCCATAGAGACAAATACAACCCTGTGGACAGAGCCATGCATGTAACTTTACATGAAGGGAAGTAGAGGAAGACATAAGAAGGAAAGATAGATTTCTGTGATTAAAAAATAAGTATTTATGGAGCTCTCTTAGGAAGAGAGGAAAATAAGGAGGAAGGCCAAGGAAGGAGGGGAAAAAAGAGCTAAAGAAAGGCAGGGAGATAAGAAAAACCAAAGAAATCAAGAGAGGGCCGGCCTCTGTTTGCTTCATTCTGTATAAAAGGCCCCAGGAGAAAGTTTGCTGAATGGAGAGATTTCCCGTATCATTTTCCTGGCCCGCATGCTCATTTTCCTGGCTTACATAAGTACTCCCAATGCAATTTCCAGACTGATTCACCAGTCAGCTAACTGACCTGCCGAAAATCATCTATAACAAAAGAGAAGGGAACAACATGAATATTGACTTTCCTGAACGCACAAATTGAGTTCCTCATTGGCAGAGAGAAGCATAGGACTTGACCTGTCAGCCCTGTTGATTAAAAGCCAGGAAATTTGGTGCTGCTCCTCAGGCAGAGCTGCACTCTAAGGAGGCCTGTTCTGTGGGCTTTGGCAGAACAGGCCCTCTTCCTGCACCCTTACCTGGGAAAGTGGGTTAGCAGGTACCCTGGAGCATCTTCTTAAACCAGGGAAAGCCCCACAGCACGAGGCCGTAGCGTGGCCTGGATAATTTGGCCAACCATCCCAGTGTCCTCAGGACTGAAGGAGTTCCTAGGACACAGGACTCTATTTTAAAACTGGGACAGTTCCAGACAAATTGGGAGAGGTTGATCACCCTGCCCGGATAGAATACCAGAAAGGCAGGGAGGGCAGAAGGCCTGCTGAACATTTGCTGTGCCCAGGAGTGAGTGGGTGGCATTTCCTCATCTCAGGAGTGAGCTAGATACGGTCACTCAAGTTTATGTTGGGGGAATGAGGCCATGCAATTGACAAAAGAGAACTGGAAGCCAGGCCTGTCCAACTCTACATTTTAACTTCTCCTGCAGAACACCATCCCCCTCTAAGTCACCATCTGCAAACCTCAGCCTTCTTGGGGTTCCCCCACCACGTGTGCCTCCCTGAGTCACGTTAGTCACTAGCCAGTTTGGGATGGGTGTCTGGGTGGCAGAAGTACTAGGGCAGAAGGTAGCATTTGCACCTCTCCCTGGGGACGTGCTCCGCCACCTCCTGGCCTCCCTGTGGGAACACCGAGGGCTGTGGGTGCTGGGAGGCCTGAGGCAGGGAGGCATTTGTCAGTGTATTGTTGCTCTTCTGTCTCTTGGCCAGGTGGGTGAAATCAAGGCCCATGCCGGCGGAGTGGAAGGCCAACGTCACGGCCGGAGTTCCAGGGAGACAAGGCGAAGGCACAGCGTGGGAGATCCACCGATAAGCTGCAGCGGGCGGCCACGATCCGCAGTATGGAGCGCCGGCGGCTGGGCCTGGGACCAGCGGGCCCACTCGCTGGACATGCTGTCCCAGAGAAGCGCTCTGTCTTCGCCGCCCTGGACACGGGCCGCTTCAAGGCCTCTTCCCAGGAGAGCATCAACAACCGGCCTAACAACCTTCGCCTAGAAGGGGCCGGAGCGCTGAACAAGTCACGGGCAGGGCGCGTCCGAGGACAACATCATCAACAAGTTCGGGTCCACCTCCCGACTCCCACAAGAGGAAAAACAAGGACCTCAAAAAGACCTTGCCCGAGGACCGTTCAGAAAATCTACAAGACCTTCCGGAATTACTCCCTGGATGAGGAGAGAAGGAGGAGGAGACGGAAAGATGTGTAACTCAGACAACTCCAGCACAGCCATGCTCACGGACTGTATCCAGCAGCACGCTGAGATGGAGAACGGGATGATACCCACGGACACCAAAGAGCCGGGAGCTGGAGAACAACTCATTACTTGAAGACAGAAACTAAATGTGAAGACATTGGTCTTGAACTGAGCATTGTGTGTGGTGTGTGTGTGTGTGTGTGTGTGTATGTGTGTGTGTTTTTAATATTCACGAGACATGTGCCTTAAACAGACTTATTAGTCCAAAATTACATAGCATTGAAGAATATATTTCACTGTGCCATAACAACTGAAAACTTGCTCTGCCAAAAGGAATCAAGAATAAGAAACATTTCAGATAGCAACCCGTGGGACGCACCGAGAACGTCTGTGCACGTAGCCAGTTCTGGCTGTACATGTTAAGGGCGTTTCAGTGGCATTGCCATATCCCTGGGCAGTGCCACCTGGCACACACATAGGTAAGGGCAGCTATTCCTTAGACCAGCCTCCTGAAAGAAATGGATGTGTCTTTTTGGTGGAGTCGTTAGTGATATGTGCACATGCAGATAGGGGATCTGGTTGGGGGTGAACTGGTTATGGGTAACAAAGGGTTGGGGTTGACATTTTGTTACGTTCTCTGAGCTGGAATTTTGAATACACACCATTCAGTGCATAATACCTAGTCTTTCTATGCTCCCAATGAATGTCTGTGGGACCTGAGATGCACCTGGAATTTGTTGGAAGCAGATCAGAGCGCATGTATTAAAAGGTGCAATTGCTTTTCTCATGACAAAGGAAAAAAAAACAGTCACAAACACATCACACTGTGGATATCGCCTTCACCAATGACAGAAGCCCTGCTGAGTACGGTCTTTCTCACGGGGGTAGGTAGTCCACATGAACTGGCGAGCATTGGTGAAAATGCGACATCAGCCGCTGCATGGTTAAAGGCCAGCCGTGCATTTTCCTCAGTGGGTGCAATGGTGACAATAAACCGATTTGGAAATGTCCATGTTCACTTTCCTAGTGGAACTTTGGTTATAACTTGTTTTGATAAGAGCGGGCGAAATACCAAAACAATTGCCTTGCATGATGCCAGTGGCTTGCTGTTCTGTCTAGCTGATCTTACGTGTTTATAAAAATAGACATCCTGCATTTCTGAGACGTACCGAGGAGGACCGTGGCATCTTTCCATCTCAGGGCTTTTTGTCCCTTGGGTGTCTTAGGGTAGACGTAGTTATAAGATCCAATCTCACTATCTCCAAACAAAAAGAAAATGTACCCCTTGCACAGTAAGCTTGAAATGTTTTGATTGCTTGCAGCCTAAGTGCCATTAATTCCGTTTAACAATGATACTTAGAAAGACTTAAACTATTTCATGTTACTTTTACGTTTGGGCAATCCTTTATTCTGAAAACGCTGCTTCTTCTCCTTGCCTGTTTCTTCATCTCACATCGGTTATTCACTAAAACCGGAACACCCCTAGACTGATTGTTCCCAGGCAAACGATAAGCTAACACGTCGTAATTGTGATTGGCCTGTGAGGCTAGAACATCCCGTAGAGGAAATTCGGGGAACGGATAGTCATAGGTTTTTTATTTTTTATTTTTTTTTTATTTGAGACGGAGTTTCACTCTTGTTACCCAGGCTGGAGTGCAATGGCGCGATCTCAGCTCACTGCAACCTCCGCCTCCTGGGTTCAGGCAATTCTCCTGCCTCAGCCTCCTGAGTAGCTGGGATTACAGGCACGCGCCACCATGCCCAGCTAATTTTTGTATTTTTAGTAGAGACGGGGTTTCACCATGTTGACCAGGATGGTCTCGATCTCTTGACCTCGTGATCCACCCGCCTCGGCCTCCCAAAGTGCTGGGATTACAGGCTTGAGCCACCGTGCCCGGCCCTAGTCATAGGTTTTGAGATGATGATCTTCAATGGGTTTTTATCAGAAAGGGGAAAATACATACTCCTGTGTATGCCTCAGCCTTCATCATAACTGGCTGGTTCAAAGCTAGCTCTTTGGGCCATACTCGAAAGCATCTGGACCTGGCAACACCAGGAAGTTGCTGGTTCTGGGTGTTCTAGGCTCACTGCCACCTTTTAGAGAGTTTGTAGGAATTTACATAACTAAGCTGCAGTGTGGATTCACCAAAAGTTCACAGCACTAGTGGAGACCTCCGGAAACTGTCTAATGCTGTCTGACGTCCAGAGAAAGTTGTACCCGTGATATCCTTGACCTGGTACCACAGAAGACCTGTCCCTGCCCATTTCTCAAAAATGCCCAGCTCTCCCCTGCCTGGAGCACATGCAATCCCCTCTCCCTGCCCCCAGACCTTCAGGCTCTGGTGAAGTTCTGGCATTGCCTTTGAGAAGGAGCCAGATAAGAATCAACTTTGATGAGGCCCTTCCTGTCTACGGAGGGTTTAAGTCAACTCCTCCATTGGGCTGGAGATGGGGCTCAGGGGTGACATCCTATGTTGACACTGTAATAAAAAAGTCACTTGGGAGGCAACGTTTATGCAGGTATGGATGTTGAGTTTTACTATGGAAATCATTCCAGCCTGACAAAATGTGTTTTAAGGAATAGGTAGATAACTGGGACATCCTCTGTATTCTAGCAAGTCAAAGTTTCCTAATTAAACTGTCCATGGATCTCACTTATTTGGGTTTCCACCGTGTTACCTGGTACCTTCTTTGCAGTAATGTGTTAAAATTCCCGGCCCTACAACAAAATCTGGCAGAGGCTTCCCCCTCATTTGTGCAGTGCCTTCTGTGGGCCAGGCACAGGATTAGGCACCTTATGAACATCGGCTCAATAAAACCTCACGACATTCTGTGGGAAGTATTTGCAAACTCATTATATACACAAGGACACAGAGGCTCAGGGAAGCTATGTAAGGTACCCGGGGGCACACAGCAAGAAAGTGGTAGAGCTGGTATTCAAAGTCTGACCAAAGTCTGGTTTCAACTTCGCTGTATTTTCTGTGTCATACACCCTTGTGAATACGTGTGTTTGTGTGTATGTGTGTCTTTCTAGTTTCATGGACACAGCTTACAGATGTGGGGAGCAGATATGGAGGAATCTTCACCACCAAGAGAGCACAAGGTCTTTGCGTAAACATGGCTCGGAGGGTTGCCCCTGCAGACATCTACTGTACATTTATTTGGTTTTGGTTTTGGAAATTCTGTGTGCGGTGCCCTTACCCTATTGTTAAAAATGCCCTTTGAAAGCACTCTTTTGCACTTTACTTGCTAACTTTGTGGGAACTCTGCATACAGCAAGAATAAAACAGTTCAAAGCACTAAGCTGCATACTCTACCCAATGGAACAGGTGCATGTGTTGGTGTGTGCATAGATCTTCCCCAGATGAGTCAAATCAGTCATACAGAGGGATCAAATGTAGCCTTGGGCTGGGAGTGGGGAAATTTTCTACATAATTCATTCCCTAAGTACATTTGACCAAGGACGTGATGAACAAAATCAAAGAAGATCCTCTATGGCGAATGATCCGTTAAATATTTGTGCAAAGTGTTTAGAAACCTACAAAATAATCTCACAAGAAGCTGAGACAGAGTAAGAAGTGGGATTCCTCTTCACATAAACTAAGATTTTGGGGGAGGCCAGTTGTTTTGAAGTTACTTAAATGTTACCTTTTTTAGATGGGGCCAAAATGCACCTAGAATACGCGTGATAAGGTGACGCTGCTGCGCAGTCTATACGCACATCAGCACAGCCCTCCTTTCCAGTCTGCATGCCTACTGCACCATAAATCTAGGAGAAATGCTTTCATTTTGCACATGGAAAGAGCACATGTCCACCATCTTCAGTGGGTGGTGTTTTTTGCTTCACCGGCAACTGGGCACCGAATTTTTCATGCATGACAGATCTGGAGGTTTACTGGTGAGAGAGCCAATGGGAAATTTGGAAAGAGTACAGCTCCATACCCAGTCCTAACCCGATAGTGTATACTTTTGTGTGTGTGTGTGTGTGTGTGTGTGTGTGTGTGTATGTGGGGGTTGGGGTGGTGGTGGGCCATCTCCAGCCCGTTACTAAGGTAACTGGGACTATTTGTGCTTCACCAGTCAGATCCTGTGATTGTGGGCACATCAGTTCCCTGCCTAGATCTCTGTTACCTTGTCTGCACATCAAGGGAGTTGAGCACACAGACTTGTCAAGGGCCATTGGAGTTGTGTAGTTCTCTAACAAAACACTCCCTAGTCCCTGAGTTCATTCAATTTATTAAGAAAGTTATAAGTTGGATTTGTGAATACCGACTAATTGTCTTGCCCATTTTAGGTTAAAGTAAGAGCTTAGTCTCCTGCCCTTTGGGATTTTTGGGGGGATTGATGGAGACCAAGTGTACTTGGGAAACTGACGTCCAAATTCGGATCATGCCCTGTGTAGGATCTCTGTGTCCTCCCTTATAGCTCTTCATTGTACTGTCAGCGGGAGGGATCATGCTGTGAGGGCATTTTTTGCATGGTGTTAAGACTAGTTACAGAATTTTAAGCTGTTGCTATTTGCAGTCAATTGTAGTACTTTACCTTACGTATCATGAATTCAAGTACTATGATCAGACAGACCTCTCTCTTTCACTCTCTCTCTCTCTCTCACACACACACACACGCACGTGCAAACACACACATGCACACCCCAGAGGAAATGGCTGCTTTGGGTTCTATAAGGACCATTCCATGTTTAAAGACCTAGTTGAGCTAAATATTAAGAAACCGCCCCCTTGCCTCCCTCTGATAAGATATTATTTCCTGGCTTTGTCAATGCTGCCTGTCTATTTGCATGCTGGGTTTTGAGAACTAGTGAGAAGGTGGCCAGAGTTTGGGTGGGGCTGGTTTTTACCTGCTGGATTTGTGAGAATGTGAAGCATCCAGTGTGTACCAGGGTTTCTGAACCATGGAAAAGGCATAGGAAAACGAATATTCAGAGCCCTGTAAAACGAGAAAGCAAAACCAGCCAGTGTTACATTCCGTATCTCTGCTTGTTGCATTTTGCTAATATGGGGTTATTCTTTCTCAGTGTTATGATGCAATTGTGTGCAAATCAGTGGCTGAGTAAGCAGTAACAGCTGGCTAGTAATGGCCTTAAAAAGAAAAAGGGTAACTGAAACAAAAATCAATTTAATGTGGTATT